CTCAAGGTTCTAAAAGGCGTTAGGCGCTAGTCGGGCGCCAGCCCAGCGCCTAGCGCCTAGGCGGCTACGCGGGCGCCTAGGCGGGGACTAATCAGAGGCACATAAATTGTATTTTTATTAATATTTTTGCATAAATATAATAAGTAATACATAATAAAATGGTAGTATCATGTTTGTGTATGTATGAAAAATATATCTACCACTAATTCACCTAGGAGCCAAACCAATTAGTCGGAGCGCCTAGACAAAAATCGGGGTGTCCGACCACCGCCTAGCGCCTAGGCAGGGACTAGTCGGGTGCCTAGAGCGACTTTTAGCTAGAACAGTGAACATGCTAATATCATTAAAAAACTCCACCAGAAACCACCTCAAGTGGCGGCAGCCGGACGGCATTTCTCGTACATCCGAATGTATGATAAAAGTTTTATGCGAGCTTGTATATATATTACTCGGTACATTTTGGAGGAGTGGTCATATGGTTGGTAGGAGGAGGAAACTACCTTTTATCTTCCATGCAATAATACTACGACATAAGGGAATTACCTTGCATTTGCATGTGTGAAAGGGACATTACTAATATTACATGTAAAGAACATAGACAAATGATCACTATTTATGATATGATACGGTGTACAAAATAGAATAAACTTTAAAGTTCAATCTATGAGTTTATTTTATTGATAGTGCTAGAATATAAGGAAAAATGGCATCTACGGAGACTATACATTATTTTTCATATCGACATAGTACAGATTTAAGTTTTTAAATAGTGTAGGGATGGGGATAATTTAAGGTGACTAACTTATACTCACAGAATAATTTTATATGCATAAAATATAAATTAAAAATAGGAAGAAAAAAAACACATAATTTCTTTTGTTTCTTCTTCCATCCATATTCTCAAAATGGTGAAACCCGCATTCCCACTTTAAAACTTATGTACTTCGTATATATCCCAAACTTTATAATATACGGAGTACTTCGTATATGAACATTTCGCTATAGAACAATTTAATATTTTCCCAATATTTATTATCGCACACCGCAATACTACCTTTGTCCCCAAACATTAGGAGAAGAGGGGGTGACACAATTATTAAAAAAAGTTAATTTGTGTGATTGCTATTGAATTGATAAAGTAAGAATACAGTAAAAAAAGTTTTGGAACACATAAACTTTATCAAATTTGATCTTACACAATAGTGAAATTTTCTAAAAAACACAAAACACGGGAAGGAGGAGTACATTATTATACGAAGTAGGGATATTCAAATTAGGCACGACTTACCCAAAAATACCAAACCCTGTCAAAATTAAATCTACAAAATAGTCCATTGCCTCCCACTACAATAGTAAAACCCACTGAAAAAGTAGAATACAGTAGTGTGAAAACCGTGCCATATCATAGTTTGTATGATAAAAGTTTTATGCGAGCTTGTATATATATTACTCCGTACATTGTGGAGGAGTGGTCATAAGGTTGGTAGGAGTAGGAAACTACCTTTCATCTTCCATGCAATAATACTACGACATAAGGGAATTACCTTGCATTTGCACGTGTGAAAGGGACATTACTAGAATACTAGTATTACATGTAAAGAACATGGATAAATGATCACTAATTATGATATGATACGGTGTACAAAATAGAATAAACTTTAAAGTTCAATGTATGAGTTATTTTATTGATAGTGTTAGAATATAAGGAAAAATGGTATCGACGGTGAATATACATTATTTTTCATATCGACAGAGTGCATATTTAAGTTTTTAAATAGTGTAGGGACAAGGATAGTTTAATGTGACATGATTATTAAGAAAAGTGAGTTTTTGTAATTGCTATCGAATTATAAATTAAGAATAAAGTAAAAAAGCTTTTGGAACACATAAACAAATAATCTTTATCAAATTTGATAGAAGTATTACACAATTCTAGTAAGATTTCCCAAAAATAAAAAATGGGACAATTTTGAGTTCATGTACATTATACGAAGTATATTCAATTTGGCACTACTTATCCAAAAAAACCAAACCTCAAAATTAAATCTACAAAATAGTGTATTTGCCTCCCACTGCAATAGTAAACCCACTGTACTGAAAAAGTAGAAGATAGTAGTGTGAACACCGTGCCATATCATATTTCTTACGCGTCATTTGGAAAATGCTACTCGATCTATAAAAAACATGCTTTGTACACATCATGCGATTAAAACATAAAACATCCTCTGTCCGAGAGAGGGATTCATGGCTGCCAATTCAGAGTTCAGTCCGTCCATTGATGAAGAAAGGTGGGTGAGCTTCGGTAGCAGAGCCTTACAGTCAGAACTCATCTTACAAATCGATGGCGTCTCTCCAACAATCTTTCAAGTCCCAAAATCCTTGAGCGAAACCAGGCCCAGGGATGGATTTAGGGGGGGCGCGGGGGGCGACCGCCCCCCTTAGACATTCAATTTTTTTTACCATATATGTAATATTTTCATAAGACTTTCATAATTTAATTATGTTCGCCCCCCTTAGCTTTTAATTTTCAAAATTAGTATATAGTCTTACATAATGTAATACTTAATTGGAGATTTAAAAGAAGAAACATCTAAAATAATTTACATAACTTAAACAAATAAACAATAGAGTAACTCGTTATTTAAGATTTAGGATACTTATTATATAAGAATTCCTAGTTTTGTAATGTTTAATTATCTTTATTAGATAACAAGTACAGGATTTTGTAAAACATATATCAAACAATATTAAATACCAGACACACTAATTACACAATTTTTAGATCACATGAAATGAATCCAAAATATAAATATTTATAGACATTAGATTACATAATTCATTTACTTCTTGCTTTCTAAAAATAATTTACTGCATGGATAATAAACTTTAAATTATTATAGAATTAATAAAAATATTAAAATATAATATGCACCATATGTGTGTGTGTATGTGGTGCATATTATTCTAAAAATAACAAACTCATACATACTAGTATACTACTATTGTAATATTAAGAAAACTTCTCATGAGTCATGACTCACGACCACCCTCCTTGGTGGACAAAAATTACAATTCAATAACCGATTCATGAGGTTAAACAATGTAGAAATTATTAAAAATGTATTGGTTGATGTCTTTGTCATCGTCTAAACTTAGAATGTAATAGATTTAAATGCCGGTTCGGGATGTGCAAGTATTAATGTCATTTTTTGAATAAAAATAGCCGAATAGCCCTACAGTAGCAAAAAAAATTCGCCACGCTACACTAGGGGAAAAAATTTCACCCCGCTACACTAACAAAAAAAAATCACCCCCTACACTAACGAAAAATTTCGCCCCCCTTGACTCAACATCCTGGATCCGTCCCTGACCAGGCCCGAAGCCTACACCCCTCGGCTTCTCGGCATGGGACCGTACCATCATCTCCGGCCCGACCTCCACGCCGCAAACCTCCAAAAGCTCGTCGCCCTCAACAAATTTCTCGGGGAAGAATCATCCAAGAACTTCTCCAAACCCATCCTAAAAAAGATGAGGGATTTGGAGCTGCTGGTTCGGGCCAGCTACGACCAGTACTTGGATCTGGACTGCTCCACCCTAGAATACATCCTCGCCATTGATTCTTTCTATCTGCTCGTTATTTTGGGTATGTATGGGGAGGAAACTCCCACTCTCGAACCCGGTTGCCAAGAACTTGCCAAGGATATCTTGAAATTGGAGAATCAAATCCCGGCATGTGTGGTAGAAGAGATGGGGAATCACCTAGGTTTGTTCCCTTATTTTGGATCGCTATAGTTGTCTCATTTTTCTTTTTCCATACGTCCTACTAAATTTGTCACATACTCCGTAATATATACTACCTCCCACCCAAAAAGAGATGCAAATTTGACTTTTCTTAGTCAAACAGTCTCGTTTTGTTCACTTAATTTGGTTGTCAATTTTTAATTATGTTCTAATTTGGAGTTTACAACTTTGAAGAGATTTTAATGTAGTTTATGAATATGTAAATTTTAATTATTAAAAATTGAATTAATTATGCATACGGAGAGTTGACTTTTATTATTGGTTGACAAAAAATTATTGATTTTGAAAAACAAATTGGGACGGAGGGAGTACGTAGTATGATATTCTCTCCATCCCGTTGGATAACTTCCATGCATATATGGCACAATCTTGCAGGCAAGTGATTAAATAGAATAATTTGTGTAAAAGAGAGAGGAAAGAGAAAATCTAGAATAAGTAAACATATAAAGTGAATAATTAAAGAAAGATAGGTTGTGGAAGGGAAATTGTGAGACTTTGACATGTAATGAGTAAGAAAGATAAATTTGAATAAAGGTACAACTAAATAGAGTAATTTATTTCCTAAAATGGAGTGAGAACTTTTAAATAAGACATCCAAATAAGGAAAGTGGAAACCTTTTAACGGGACATGGAGTAATATTTTTGTGACTCTAATTTACTCTTACTTTCTTCTAACTTTATTAATTCATCATTAATCTTAGGGTGACGGAGGTTTTGTACTAATTCATTATCAACCACATAATAAAACTATAACTAGATGATGAAGTATTGATCGAAACGGTGACATATATAGTACTAAAATAAAACAATGGGTAGAAATATAAATTATAATATGCAACAACAACAGTAATAATATTTCAAAGTGACTATATGGTCATCATGTTAGGGGGTGTTTGGTTAAAACTGTTTCTGCTCAGGGAGCAGAAACAGATATTGGAATGTTTAGGTGAAGATGCAGAAGTACTTATTGATGCTCCAAATTATCCTAAAAGCAGTTTTTTTAGAAGTTGGGGAAACCAGATTGTGAAAAACTGATTTTGCTTTTCAAACACCCCTTTAATGTTCAACTCCACATGCCCGTGATGATTCTGGTACTTCATCAATTTTGTAATCACATGTTTGTTTTATTTTAATAATATCACGGGAAAAAATCTATTAATATTATATCGATATTATTATGAGATAGTAATAAGTGAATAGGACATAATAATATCTCTTGTTGTTACTATAAAGTACAAGTACTCCGTATTATTTATCATTACTGTATGATTATTGCCTTTATTGGCGGTTTAATTTAGGTATCCCAAAAAGCACGCTGCATTCAGAACTCTTTTACTACCTCTGCAAAGCTCATTCTCCGCTCAAACTTGATAGGGGTATCGTGGACTGCTGCTATGAGGGCAGTCACCTGCTGGCACATATGTAAAATCGGGTCATAAACAACCGGGGTGGACGACGGTTAAGAAAGCAAATGGCACATTCATTCACATTCACAGAGGCCGGAACAAAGGCATTAAAAGCTTTAAGTGGAGTACTTGGAGCAGGAGCATCCAAATGGATTAATCCAATGCTATTAGCTTTGGAGGCATTACAAGTTTTGGAGATTAGCAGCAAGTTAGCCGATGAGGTTGCTAAGATCAAACTATCAAAACCACCAAAGACGAAGAGTCATCAAATTCCTTCAGTATTGGCTCTGTCCAAGAAACACTATGTGGGTTTCAGGCTGCTGAAATGTAAAGGGATTAGGGATATCAGATTTGACCTCCAGGACGACATAAGAACGGTTTCTCTGCCTCAGGTCACTTTAAAATGTGATTCAGAGGTGGTTTTGAGAAACTTGGTGGCATATGAATCTGCCATAGCAACCCCAGGGTCAGCCTTTGAGCTTGCTGGATATATTCACCTGATGAGCAACTTACTGCAGACACCAGATGACGTGGCGATGCTACGGGTGAAGGAGATCATCAAGGGAGACCTAACAGATGGAGAAGCTGTTGAAATCTTCAACGGGATCGGAAAATCTGCAGGGAACTCGAAGCCGAAGGTGGAGTGTGCAAGCAGGGAGGTGGTGAAACAAGTGAAGCGAATGGTGGAGGATTGGGAGAAGAAGAGGAAGAGGTATGTATTGAAAAGGGTGTGGAAGTGTGTGGAGAAGAAGGTCAAGAATGGTGTGGAGTTAATGAGGAAGCCCGTGAGAATTGGTATGAAGTGTCTGTTGTATCTGATAATGATTTTGTTACTTGTGCTGGAGATGATGCAAGCATATCGCCAGATTTATGAACCCAACAAAGGCAGGGGTTCTTAAGCCAAGACCGGCTATGAGTTCCACTGTGTCACGAGAGGGTTAGATGCTCAGATGCATGTACGGAGTATATATTTATTCAGTTGCTAAATAAGTATAACATGTGGAATTTTCCATTATCCACGAGTTCTATTTTGACTATGTTTTATCTATTAATGTATTACTCGGTAATAAATAATAAATTATCTTTTAAAACATATTGTTAAGTTTCCGTATCATTGTAATTTTAAATTCTTAAAATCTTATTTTTTTTAGTAGAGAATAATATACATTAATGGTCAAAGTTGTCTATCGACAAGCGTGAGATCAAAAGTGGACTTAGAATATACTCCGTGTATTATTGAGGCATACCCCAATAACAATTCTATTCTACTAGAGAAGACATAAATTAAAATATAATAATGATAAAAACAAAAATAAAATTATTAATAGGTAATACGGAGTAAAAAATACTCCCTCCGTCCCGCAAAATAGTTTCCGGTTTTCTTTTTGGACCGTCCTAAAAAATACGGAGTAGTTCTCATTTGCCTTTTTGGAAAGTTTTGTGTGGCTCACATTCATTTACCTTTTCTTGTTTAACCACAACCATACATTTCCACTTTATTCTCACTTTCTTAAATTTCGATACAAGTCAATTTGGGAACTATTTTATGGGATGGAGGGAGCAATATTGAGGATTATTAGCTTATTTTATCCAAAATTGTGATCAAAATCAAAAATTTATCCTATTCGTTCACATACAATAATTATATATGCATACAGATATAAATTAAAAATATGGAAAAGAAAAGGACACAGTTTCTTTTTTTTCTTTTACCAAAAAAAAATCTTTTGTTTCTTCTTACATATTCTGAAAATGGTGAATCCCGCATTCCAACTTTAAAACTTACACCCCAAATTAACTTTATAGTATGAACATTTCGCTGTTGAACAATTTAAAATTTCACCAGTATTTACGTAATACTTGATATTTAATTTAAATGTATTAATAGTATTTAAATGTATTAATAATACTACTCATATCATCAGATGTGCATCTCCTTTTAATGGACATGATCTATGCTCAAATCTCCTTTTAATGAACATGATATACATTTCTGGTACATCCAAAATTCCGAATGTATGATAAAAGTTTAATGCGAACCTGTATACGTAGGAGGAGGAAACTACCTTTTATCTTCCATGCAATAATACTACGACATAAGGTAATTACCTTGCATTTGCATGTGTGAAAGGGACATTACTAATATGACATGTAAAGAACATAGACAAATGATCACTAATTATGATATGATAGGATGTACAAAATAGAATAAACTTTAAACTTCAATCTATGAGTTTATTTTATTGATAGTGCTAGAATCAGGGGTGGAGACAGGGGAGGCTGGCGGTGGCCACGGCTCCTGCAAGAAAAAAATTGTGATGTATATATGTATGTGTAAATATTTATAAGTAGTAAAAAGTATAGTGAAAATTTATGTTTTAGCCCTGCTATATAAATTATTTAAGCTCTGGTCCCTATAATCTGCCAATACTGGCTCCGCCACTGGCTAGAATATAAGGAAAAATGGCATAGACGGAGACTATACATTATTTTTCATATCCATAGAGTACATATTAAATTTTTAAATAGTGTAGGGATGGGGATAATTTAAGGTGACTAACTTATACTCATCGAATAATTTTATGAGATAATTTTATATGCATAAAATATAAATTAAAAACAGGAAAAAAAAAAGAGACATAATTTCTTTTGTTTCTTCTTCCATCCATATTCTCAAAATGGTGAAACCCGCATTCCCACTTTAAAAATTATCTACTTCGTATATCCCAAACTTTATACTACCTCCGTTCCAGTGATAAGTTTCCACTTTCCTTTTTTGGCAGTCCCAACAAAAAGTTCTCATTTTCTTAAATGGAAAGTTATCATACATCAAAACAGTGCAAAAGAGTGTCAAATAGTGTCGAAACAGTGCCTAACAGTGTCGAAACAGTGCCAAACAATAAAATTTACCCCTCAATAACTTTATTTCCTTAATATGTGTGAAAGTCAACCTGGGAACTTCTCCCTGGGACGGAGGGAGTAATATACTTGGTATATGAACATTTCTCCATAGAAGAATTTAATATTTTCCCATTATTTATTATCGCAGACCGCAATACTACCTTTGTACCCTAACATTAGGACAAGAGGGGGTGTCACAGTTATTAAAAAAAGTGAATTTATATGGTTGCTATTGAATTGATAAAGTAAGAATGCAGTAAATAAAAGTTTTTGGAACATATAAACTTTATCAAATTTGATACTCCCTCTGTCCCATTTTACCTATCCTACTTTCTTTTTTGGATTGTTCCAAAATAAGTGTCTACTTTCATCTTTCGGAAAGAAATATGTGGTCTACACCATTTCACTTTATTATACTCAAACCCCAACCATAACTTTTACTTTTTTAACCACTTCATTAATAACCGTGTCAAGTCAAACTAAGACACATAAAATGAGATATTCAAATTTGAAAGACTACATTATACGAAGTAGGGTTATTCAAATTAGGCACGACTTACCCAAAAATACCAAACCCTGTCAAAATTAAATATACAAAATAGTCCATTGCCTCCCACTACAAAAGTGCAACCCACTGAAAAGTAGAATACAGCAGTGTGAAAACGTGCCATATCATATTTCTTACGCGTGATTTGGAACATGCTACTCTATAAAAAACTTGATCTGTATTCTGTAATATTCATGCAATTAAAACATAAAACATCCTCCGTCCGAGAGAGGGATTCATGGCTGCCAATTCAGAGTTCAGTCCGTCCATTGATGAAGGAAGGTGGGTGAGCTTCGGTAGCAGAGCCTTACAGTCAGAACTCATCTTAGAAATCGATGGCTTCTCTCCAACAATCTTTCAAGTCCCAAAATCCTTGAGCGAAACCAAGCCCGAAGCCTACACCCCTCGGCTTCTCGGCATGGGACCGTACCATCATCTCCGGCCCGACCTCCACGCCGCAAACCTCCAAAAGCTCGTCGCCCTCAACAAATTTCTCGGGGAAGAATCATGCAAGAACTTCTCCAAACACATCCTCAAAAAGATGAGGGGTTTGGAGCTGCTGGTTCGGGCCAGCTACGACCAGTACTTGGATCTGGACTGCTCCACCCTAGAATACATCCTCGCCGTTGATTCTTTCTATCTGATCATTTTTTTGGGTATGTATGGGATGGAAACTGACACCCTCCAACCCGGTTGCCAAGAGCTTGCCAAGGATATCTTGAAGTTGGAGAATCAAATCCCGGCATGTGTGGTAGAAGAGATGGGGAATCAGCTAGGTTTGTTCCGTCCAATTAAATTTGTCTCATACGGAGTACTATATTTGTTACTCTGTCCGTCCTATTTGAAGGTTCTCGTAAGTAAATGACACGATTTTTTAGACAAGTGGTTAAATAAATTAATTTGGGTAACAAAAAAAGGCAAAGAGAAAATTTTGAATATGTAAATATATAAAGTGAAAGTAATTTAAAAAAGATAAGTTGGAGTAAGGGAAATTGCGAAAGTTGACATGTAATGAGTAGGAAGACAAATTTGAGTAAATGTATAATTAAATAGGAAACTTTTCAATGAGATATCCAAATATGAAAAGTGATAACCTTTCAACAAGAAAGAGGAAGTAGTAGTCATATTTTTGTGGCTTTAAGTCATTCTTATTTTATTCTCTCTTTATCAATTCATTATCAATCACATAAATCTACTCTTAAAAATCATACCACTATCCTTTGTTCAATCAAAAAAACATACCCCTCTCCTTAGTACATTAGTTAGTACTACTTCCGTCATTAACTAATGTTGGGAATTTTGACTTCACACCTCACTTTTTGACTGATTTAAAAAAAATGAGTTTTGTGAGGTAGTAACTTTTAATATGTTAATGTTCGGACAACAATAGTAATATTTCAAAGTGACTGATAATCATGTTAATGTTCAACTCCACATGCCGGTGATAATTGTCGTAAAAGGCGTTCTAAAGTGCGTCAAAAGGCAGCCCAGACTGAAAATCGCATAAACTATAATTAGACTACGACATGAGGTAGAGCTAAGGCCTTATTCATGAAGCCCAAACAAGCTACAAGCTAGATTCTCTGCTTCAACTTTTGAGTTTTGAGTATCAAGAGAGGCTTTGCATAGCCAACAATGTTTGGTGTACTTAATCTTATACCTATCATGTTCGTGAAGTGTTCTTTTTTTGTCAAAATATTATTTGTTAACCGGGATTCATAGGCAAAAAAAACACTTCACAAACATAAGTAGGTACAAAAGTGAATATAAGAGTGGGCACAAACATCATTTTTGTTATACAGCCAAAGTGGAAGTAAGAATTCATGACTTCCTCCAGTGTGGGAAACGTATAACCTACCTAAAGAGGAGACGCTTGGAAGGTATATATATAGTTATATACGAAGTACATCCCATATACGATAGCACAAGCCATACGAGTAATACGACATACTCCCTCCGTCCCGTTGGAATGTTCCCGGTTTGACATACACATATATTAAGGAAATAAACTTACCAGGGGGTAAATTTTACTGTTTGGACACTGTTTGACACTGTTTGACACTGTTTTGCACTGTTTGACACTGTTTTGATGTAGGATAACTTTCCATTTAGGGAAATGAGAACTTTCCATTGGGACATCCAAAAAAGGAAAGTGGGAACATTCCAACGGGACGGAGGGAGTATAATTTATAAACTACTACGCCCTCTGTCCTTAAAAGAAGTTCAATTTCATTTATCGAGGGTCAACATAAATCACTCCTAAACTCTGACTTTTTATATCAAAATTTTATAAAACTTGAATTATTTTATGCAGGCTTTGTAGCGGGTTTAATGTAGTTTCTGAATATGTAAATTTTATTTACTAAAAATAATCTGAGTTCACACAGGGATCATTTAACTTTATCTTCGGTCAACCTTCGTAATTCGCAATTGGAACAACATTTAGGGACGGAGGGAGTAGTAAAATTAAGATATACACATATACGAATTACGACCCATTTGCATAAAATACGAGCTACATAAAATTAACCAAAAATTATGCTACTAAATACTACTTCATCTTAAAATTAGTGTAATTCTTATTATTATGACTTTCTAATATTATCATTTTTATCACCTGATTATTTTTTCAAATCTAGTATTTGAAAATTATTGATGTTTTAATTGGATTGATTTCAGTCGTATCTCAATTTTGACCAATTAGATCATACAGACATAAACAGATCAAGCGAGACCAGACTTTGACAATGACAAAAATACCTATAAAATAAAAAGATGCAAGAATATATTAGACCAAACAAATTGAGATCAGACCAAGTAAGCTCATAAAATTTCAATTCAATTAAAATTATTTGATTAGAAATAGTGTTCTTGCATAATATTAGGTAATACCCCTTCCCCCGCTAAGATCGTCTCATCTTTTCTTTTCTTCTCGTCCTACTAATATTCTTACTTATCAAATTTGGTAAGTTTATGTGGTTCTAAATCATTATTATTTTATAAATTCAATATCAATCATATAAACTCACTTTTCTTAATAAACATACCACTTCTTCACGTCCCAATGTTAGTGAGGTGAAGGTAGTACTAAATTTTCCGATTAATGGCGGTAGGAAAATTAAAACTATGATGAAAAAATCAAAACGCCTGTTCACGTCTACACCTTGCCTAAACTTGCCTAGGCTTCAAAGGCCTGAGACTTGGTCGCGCCGCTTCGACACGCCTTACGTCTTTTAGAACATTGCATACAATGTATAAGTGTATAAGACTAAAACATAAACACAATACAAATACGAAGTATAAGTCTCTTATTATGTTCTTGCCTCGACACGCCTTACGCCTTACGTCTTAAATAATAATAATAATATTTATTATTGTTACTATTATTATTGTTATGCTATATTTATTTGTGCATTTTGTGTAAGTTTTAGTCCTATTTAGAGCAATTTGTATTTTATAATCATATGTTTGTTCTATTTTAATAATATTACGGGAAAAACTATTATGTAGTAATATTATATATATCAATATTATTACTCCATCTGTCCAATTTTATAAGATTTTTTTCCTATTCACTTTATCAACACAAATCACTCTTAATCTCTTACTTTATATATATCAAAATTTTGTGAAATTTGAATTAATCAATTCCTTGCAGGCTTTATAGCGGTTTTAATATAGTTTCTGAATATGTAGATTTTATTTTCTAAAACTAATTTGAGTGTTGGCAGGGATCAATTTGCTTTATCTGCGGTCAAATCGTAAAGTGTCTTATAATTCGGGACCGAGGGAGTATGACATAGTAATAAGTGAATAGGAAATAATAATAATAATAATAATAATAATAGTATTTATTATTGTTACTATTATTATTGTTATGTTATACGAAGTACTTCGTATATGACCATTGGTGATTTGATTCAGGTATCTCACAAATAACGCTGCATTCAGAACTCTTTTACTACTTCTGCAAAGCTCACTCTCCGCTCAAACTTGATAGGGGTTTCGTGGACTGCTGCTATGAGGGCAGTCACCTGCTGGCACATATGTATAATCGGGTAATGAACAACCGGGGTGAATCAGGGGCACGGTTTATTTCAGGAGCCACAATCACAGAGGCCGGAACAAAGGCATTAAATGCTTTAAGTGAAGTGCTTGGATCAGGAGCATCCAAATGGATTCATCCAATGCTATTAGCTATGGAGGCATTACAAGTTTTGGAGATCAGCAGCAAGCTAGCTGATGAGGTTGCTAAGATCAAACTATCAAAACCACCAAAGAAGAGTCATCAAATTCCTTCAGCATTGGCTCTGTCCAAGAAACACAGTGTGGGTTTCAGGCTGCTGGAATGTGAAGGGATTAGGGATATCAGGTTTGACCTCCAGGACGGCATCAGAACGGTTTCTCTGCCTCAGATCACTTTAAAATGTGATTCAGAAGTGGTTTTGAGAAACTTGGTGGCATATGAATCTGCCATTGCAACCCCAGGGTCAGCCTTTGAGCTTGCTGGATATATTCACCTGATGAGCAACTTACTGCAGACACCAGATGACGTGGCGATGCTACGGGTGAAGGAGATCATCACGGGAGACCTAACAGACGGAGAAGTTGTCGAAATCTTCAACGAGATCGGAAAATCTGCGGGGAACTCGAAGCCGAAGGTGGAGTGTGCAAGCAGGGAGGTGGTGAAACAAGTGAAGCAGATGGTGGAGGAAAGGGAGAAGAGGAATGTGTGGAAAAGGGTATGGAAGTGTGTTGAGAAGAAGGTCAACAATGGTGTGGAGTTGATGTCTTGATGAGGAAGCCTGTGAGAATTGGTATGAAGTGTGTGCTGTATCTGATAATGATTATGTTACTTGTGCTGGAGATGATGCAAGCATATCGCCAGATTTATGAACCCAACAAAGGCAGGGGTTCTTAAGCCAAGTCCGGCTATGAGTTCCACTATGCATGTCACGAGAGCGTTAGATGCTTAAGTCAAGGCCGGGAGTTCCACTATATATATCACCAGAGCATTAGATACTTAGAAATATATAGCTATTCACTTCTTAAATAAGGCTAAAATTTGAATTCTACACTGCTCACTTGTTCTACTTTGACTGTGTTTTATTTATTAGATATTACTCCAAATATGACTAAAACTATGGCTCACAAAAATGTCTGTACTTCTTTGTTATGAAATAACAGTCAATCCATGCAATTTTGGTCCCGATTTTCACTATGGGTCATCCGGAAACAGTCTCTCTGTGCTTTTGTTCAGGGGTAAGATTGCGTACATCTGTCCCCCTTACCCCACTGTAGGTGGGAGCCTTTGCGACACTGAGGTAAATGAAAATGAAAAGTGAAATTATCATCGACCTCCCCTGAGGTTTTCAAATATTATCACCTAGACCCCTGTACTATTAAAAATATACGCTTACCCCCTCCCTATGCTTCAATGAAAGTTTTTTTTTATGGAATGTTTCAATGAAAGTTTAATAACTCTTAATTGCATTTAGCATAAGTATAAATTTAGTTTTATAAATTTACTCATTTGCCGATTTAAAGTTGATAATTAATAAATTTACCTATTTTAAGAATCATTCCATCAGAAAGTACTTTTTTTTGCAGGAACGCGTACTTTCCGATAAAATAACCCTTATTATTGACAAATTTATTAGGTGAGTAGTACATAACTACATCTACATGTGGTCACATTCCAGATATTTCCCTTGGGAGTAGCTCGTTTTTTATTTTTCTTTTCTCTTTTTATGTATTTTTTTTCTCTTATTTCCTTTTTCGCATTGTACTATTTCCTTTTATCAATAAAATCCTCTTTTCTAATTAAAAAAAAAGAATGTTATTTTATACCTATTGTAAATTTGTATGTGAAATACTTACTTTTGTGGTTCATATTAGGGGAGGATGAAGTCCGGTCTTGGGATGACCGATTTTTAAATTAAGATTTTAGGCCGGGATCGAGATCAGACCCGTGAAAAAGAGGCCTCAGGCCTCAATTTTTGTGACCGGGATTGGAGCCCATGTTTTGACACCGTTAATTTTTTTTCATTAAAACCATTGAGTACATTTTAAAATGGGTTATAGTCCATTTAAAATTAAAGTTGAAAAATATGAAGTTAAAAATATTTAAATTATCGGGAGCGACCCTAAACCAATTAGGAGATTGGAATCGAAGACAAGGTCTTTACCAGTATTTCACATGTAAACATGTTCATATATTGTCAAATACTAAGAAGTATTAATTTACAAGTTATTATTATACCTATAATGATTTCATTTCCGATGGATAACAAAGAAGGGTTTTTTACAAGAATATTACTAAAATAAAACCTATTTACATAAATATGACTACTCATTACTACAATGTAGTATTGTGGTAACTTAAGTTCAAAACTTGAACATGAATTACTATGAATTCATTACTACTCTAGTAACTAGTCATATTTTTGTAAACCATCTTTATTTTGGTCGTATTTATGTAATTATTTCAACAAAGAATGTCTAGAGTGCAAATTGTGAATTTTTTGTATTTAATTTTTAATGGTAAAATTGAGTAGTAAACTTCACTTTTGACTTGGTTTGGTTCATTTAAGTTGATTTGTTTCAATGATTGACCAATTTAGCATATTTTGATCATTTTCAATTGAATAAATTTACTCTACAAATTCAAAGGAATAAAACGAACTATCTAGAGTGAGGTCAATTTTGATCATTTTTTTTATTTGTTTTATCTAGAGTGGGAATAAAACTAAAAAAGGGTCTTTAGTTTGGAAAATTTTATTAATTTTCCGACCAGATTTGTGAATGAATAAAATTACAGTATTAAAAACGGACATAACGAAAATTAGGAATGCTGGATAATTGATACCCATATCCTATAACTAAAGAGATTTGAACATGAGTGGAGAAGGAATAAAGAAAGTATATAGAATGAATGAATATTGGTTCTGGTTTACAAGCCTCCTATAAGGAGTATATATAGGGAAAATCCGGGTCTGAGCTTCTAATATGGGCCCGACAGACCCGGTTACATAAATGGACTGATAGTATAAAAAGCTAATCTAGAACATGTTAATAATAATAATGTACAATAATATGAATCTGCTAAACGTGTGTGGGCCACTGTCCAAGCCCAATTGTCGGCAGACCGGGGGGTCGGAGTCCATATACTCCATCAAGGAAATTATAGCTATAATTTCATCTAAACATAGATTCAAAGTTATTTAACCATCACTAAAGGCTAGGGAGGGGGGTAAGAGTATATTTTTTATAGTATAGGGGTGTGATTGATAATGCATCAAACCTCAGGGGAGGTCAATGATAATTTCCCAAATGAAAATGAAATGAGGACTAAAACTATGACAAAAACTCAAAATAGGGTTTGCTATGTTTATATCCCAAAATAGGACCATATTAGTCCTATTGAAAATGTAACACCGTCCCCAAATATATTTATTTTTAAGTGAATAATGTATTAAACCTTATGGAACGTTTAACGAATTAACGATGTTGTGAATTTTTATTAATTCTTTCGCGTGAATAGTAAATTTGCACGTGAGGCCCACACCGGGAGCGAGGGCCGCCCGAAATTCCTGAGACCATATATTTTATTCATCTTGGTCGAAATAATATTTATATGGTGGTGGATATCTCATCTGAGCCATGGAAAGGTCCAGAGTTGACCGCTTGGTCAAAAGAGGCCCAAATACTGGTATTGGTAATTTAACCGATAAAGCCCGAAATTTGATTTGGAGGCCTATAAATTAAAGTTGGGAAATGTATATTCATTATAAGGGTCATAATTATTGAGAACACATAGTATATTTTACTTGACCCGGTAAAATAAAATATACTTAAATAGTCCGAAAAATACAACTTTCGGGACCGATTGTACACTTCTGGACAAAAAGGGTTGACCTCCCACATGTGTGGGGACCAACCCACGATTTTAGCCACCCAAAGTAATGGGTTGGTCGGCTGGTAGGAATGGGAAACATGGGGGAGGATTTTGAATGGAAAGAAAAAGCATCAAACAAAAATGAGGGGACTCCCATCCACCCTCATTTGATCATTTAGACAAAAGGACCATCTTCTCACCTCTCTCTCCCTCATCCCTGCGGCCAACACACTCCAAACAAGAGCAAATAGTCCCCCATCCTCCTTTCTCCATTGTTGAAGAGAGCTCAACAAGGAAGGACCTCGAGAAAAGGAATTAAAGTGCTAAAAGTGTGAAAATTAAGGTAATGACCTTATCATAACTTTTTCTTTATTTTTCCTTCCATAATATGATATATATATCATATGGAGAACCCTTGGGATTGTTCTACATGATAAGAGTGTGGAATAATGGGTTGGAAAGTGGCTCTAAGTCCAAAAACGGATTTAGAAGTCAAAACGACCGGTTCACCGTAAAATAACCTTTTAGAGGTTATTTGTATTGATTAAGGCTTTATGATGTTAAAACCTTGTTAGGAACTTGATTTATAGTATTTTTGAGCTTCTCCGGAGTTTCGCCGGAGTTGGTCAAAGTTCGCCGGAGTTGGTCAAAGTTCGCCGGAATTAGTCAAAGTTCAATCGGGGAGCGTAGAACGCGTGTAAGCTCACTTAAGGTGAGGATGACCGACTATATTGCTTATAATCTTTGGGTTAATTTCATGAGATGTCCTAAATGAATACAAAATATGATTTGCATGGATTATTAACGGTTAAAAATGCCTAAATGAAATTACTATTGATTATAAGTATAGTTTGCATAATATACAAATTTATGAATAAATTGTGTATGTTTATATGTTGTGAATATGATGGCATGATAGTTGTTGTATCAACCATGAATCCCAATTGTGATAAGTATGCTTTTATTTCATGAGAAGAAACCATGAAAGAATAAAAGTGATATTTTGATAGTAAGGCCAAATTACACATGAATGAAGAATTATAGTGAAATGAGTAAATAACTAGTATTGAAATATTAGTTGGAATTGTAGTTGAATAATGGATGAATGGATCCTAAGAAATTGAATTGTAAAGAATCGGTGATTATTGAGCTGGGCTCTAGACCATGTAGATAACGGTGATTATTGAGCTGGGCTCTAGACCGTAGTAGATAACGGTGATTATTGAGCTAGGCTCTAGACCGTAGTAGATATCGGTGATTACTGAGCTGGGCTCCAGACCGGTGTAGATGACGGTGATTATTGAGCTGGGCTCTAGACCGTAATAGGTAACGGTGATTATTGAGCTGGGCTCTAGACCGTGGTAGGTAACAGTGATTATTGAGCTGGGCTCTAGACCGTGGTAAATAACGATGAATTGACACTAAACGAACAAAGTTAACCATGATATGATAATACCCTAGTTTGAGGGTCTTGGAAATTGAAACATTGATTATACTTAGTATAGTTGTCATTGTACTTGTCAAATGCTTCCAAGTACTGACCTCCCCTTCACGGGGGAGGCCACCTCACAGTTTCAGGTAGGAGTTGAGCTTGCTACCAGTGTCGTTGCTCTGGGAGTATTCAAGGAAGGAAGACGTGGTTCGTGCTTCCTTTGTTCCTGTTTTAAAAACAATTATGTCAATGCTCATGGATATTATATTTTTGAATAATTATTTGGGGGTTTGTATGCCCGTGTTGCCAAAGTGTGGCACAAACACTTGTATTAAATGTTTCCGCTACTTTAAATGAATATTTTACATTATGTTTGTTTATGGATGTACTATGTGTGAATGATATTCCAGACGCCTCGTATAGTATGGATGTGTTGGACTGCGGTTGACTATTTGTACTGTACAGCGGATTGTTGACGTGTCCGGGTAGCTCCGGGGCGTGACAATTTAATTGGTATCAGAGCCTTAGTCCGTAAACTTCATAATGAAGCCTCAAAATCTCTTTTTGAAAACGAATTTGAAAACCATGAGCATAAAAAGTTTTGTACTTATAGAACTTTTGGTACTTGAGTTGCAAAGTCTCTAATTGTTAAGATGGTACCCTTAACAACTGGTATGACGGTGATTTGAGCCAAAGGATGTCTTAAGTACCTATCCATCATTTGACATTGATACGAATCTAATGACTTATTCTAATTTCTTTCAGAAATGGAACCAGTTGGAAGGATCACTAGGAGGAACCCGACGGGCCGTGCACCGGGTGGGTCCGAGCGTGGTTGCCGGGGGTCCTCTAGGGGATCAAGAGGAAGGGGCCGTGGAGGCC